AGCCACATCTACCTCCCGTTCTCTCCCCTTTTCCTAGGATAGCTACAAGCCCTCACAGGGGCAGGGGGATGGGGAATAAGCCCCAGCAGCCAGCSCCCATCCCAAACATCAGTATGCCAGGAACAGCTTGTATCAAGCGTGGCAATGGGACACCCATCAACTACTGTCCTGGATCACCTACACCCTACACAGGTTCTAAAACCCAGGCAGGCATGGCAGGAGCATCTCATTAGCACTAATACAGTGTAGCTCGTTAGGCCTAGTGAGGAAAAAGAGTACTGAGGCCAGGCACAGYCCCTGCTTTCCTCCTAGCACTGCCCCACTGGCCTTCCCCTGCCTGGGTGCCCCAGCACGTGTTGCAGTGTGAGTTGTCCAAGCTGTCCCRCTTGCAGGACAGCGAGATAAACTCCACCACGGGAGAGCAGGATACAGGACAAGCATAGGGAGCAGCATCCAGCAGCAAGGTAGAGGACAAGCTGGAGGGAAGGGTACCTACCAGCAAACTTTAAAGGGAGGGAGAAAGAGGGAAGAAAAGGGAATGCAGCTCTTTCCTTCTCCTAGGAGCCCTGAAAAATGCCCTACTCTACAACCTGAAACATGCCCTTAATATTTCACATGTCTGCTGCTTTAYCCTTAGCTTTGGGGATCAGGATGGATTCTATACAGAAAGTGGGGGGGCAGCTCTGCCCAAAGCAGTACTGAGGTAGGAAGTTTTGCAGGATGAATGAGCAGGTAGGAACATAATCAAAAATATTGTATAGAAGTAATATACTTCTATATCCTTCCACCTGTGAGTGTAACTGCACAGTTCACACTCCCACTGGAAAACAACTCTGTTTGAAACCCCTGCATCTGCTTTCCATCAAGTATTACAAAGGGAATTAGCTATACCACAGGCAACAACAGCAGTGTGAGAGCACCTCTGGACAGAAAAGGTCTTCATGTACATGCTGCAGATCTCCTATAGAAACTAGGAGGGGTGTGTGTGTGTGCACAACATGCTTGAGGAACATGGTGAAATGGCTTGAACCTCACACCCAACACCTTCACCTTCCTGCTGAACACAAGACAATTTCTTCCTCACCCAGGCTATGCTTTCCCTGTTTACCCTTCTTGCTCTGGTTTGAAGATCATCTGTGCAAATGAGCTCTGTGACTACAAACAGGACAATAACCAAGGAGCTTGGAGTAACCTCAGGGCCCTGGTTTTGAGAGGGAGGGACTTATGGGGAAACCACAGGCTTTGGGTGCCAGCATGTGCCTTGCAAAATCAGAGCCTGAAAGAAAAGCGCCACAGGGAACCAGCAGGTCCCTCCTACTCTACCAGAAAGCTCTCAGTCTTACCCTGATTTCCACACTTCATTCACTCAATGAAGATGCTCTGACCACTCTGTCAGTATGATATAAATTTTGGGCCTTTGGGCCACCAAATTTGAACTCAGCATCAGAGAGACATGATTGCAGTAGTTGTAAGAGGGAATRAAAGACCACAGATTTGTCACTTTCATATCTACAGCACCAGAAAGGAGTAACAGTTCAAGGATTACAAATCTTCACCACCATCTTAAGTTATATATCTGTTTACCCTGCCTGAAATATCTGCTGTTTCATCCACCCAAGAAAGCCTAGAAACTTCAACCAGAAGAAGAAAAAAACAGACTATTGTGGTATTCTGAAGTCAGTAAGGCTCTGCTAATAATGGGTCATAGAAGACTTTCACTTTTTCTCTGTTTCCAAACACTTGCTTTAAACTACTTCTTTTCAGGAGTCTGGGGTTACTAAACTAAATACTGCAAATGGAGAGGCTGCAGCCTATGCAGAATAAATGATTTAAGAACTGGGCTTGGCTGATTTATTTTTTCCTCAGTATTGGAGATAAAAAGAAGTAACACATTCTAGWAATCCCTACTCATTTTCATGGCCATTCTTGCACCTGTAACTCAAATAATGAAGCCATTTGTTATTTATATTGCACTTTCCCCTCCATTCTAGATTTCTAACGATCTGACCCTGCTTTATGGCCCTGACAAAGCCTGAAACCAGTGTGGACTTCCAATAATTGAACGATATAAGGAAAAATCTTTAACTGGAATGAAGCAGATGTTAGCTTCATGCAGTCCCCTAACTTGATTATTCTTTGGACATGTTAGACAAGCATTAGTGATTGATAATGATGCTAATTAACCCCTTTCCTTTCCAAAACAGTAAGCCAAWGCCAGCAGGATTCTGCAAACAACAYAYACAAAGTGTATACCAGTATYTGTTCAAAGTGRATCAGGGACACAACTTCATTGCCCAGTGCTCGACRAAACCTTATCCTGCTGACACCAAACTGGCTCCAAATCCTCTCTAAGAGTTAACAGCTTCAGCTGCTTGCAAGACAGGGAGCAGAGACATAGCTCTTTCMTGCAGAAAAGGTGCATGGGACAAAATTGAAGGCAACATTTATTTTTTATATTCTCAACCTTTCACATTTGATTATGGAGTGAGTTTAAATCACTCTGCCCTCGCTAGCTGGGATGGGCTTCACGCTGCTCCCTGTTGGAAGGGTGCTTGTTATTTTAGCTACACTTTCCTAACATGAGAGCTAAGGCTCTGGGAATCAGGTCTGGGCTGAGTCACGCACGTACCAAGGAGGGAAAGGGAAGTGCGCATTCTGAAATTTAAATGGGAGGTAGGAGACGAGTAAACAAACAAGGAGCTGATCTGATTATGCAGTTGAATTTATCATGGACAATAAAGAAATTGCCTTTAAATGTAAGGGTTTGGATAAATGAATACTCCTAGCAAGTGAATAAAATGTATTCAATTAACTAAAAACCTTGTGCACTTCTGAACTGAAGTGGAATCGACTGTAATTGATTTATTTGAAACCAGAGGTTAAGGACTGAATTAGCTAAGTACAACTGGGTATTTCAAGCCACTGACTTCTCAAATGTCAAATCTCTTCTATTTTAAATATTATTTCAGCTGCGGGGCATTGCTGTCCTGATGGCTGTTCCACCAGTTAAATCTCAAATTATATTAATATTTGATTTTTGGAGGGTGGGGTAAAATACAGTACAAAGAGGAGGGCTGTCCTTGTTCACGGTGAAAGAGCACCATACAAAATACAGTGTGAACTGTATTTTGGTTCACATGGAGGAATTAGCTTAGGGTRGCAATAATGGTCTAACATTCAGCCACCACTCACCCTCATTTCAACCGATCTGGGGGAAAAAATAATAACAACAGATTTTTGTTTAATGTAGAAAAGCATGACCTAGAATTTCACTGCTGCACCTCGATCACAACGTTAACAACGCATCCAAAAAACACTGAAGTAATTAGCACATTTTAGTAACTGCATACTGGTCGCAGAAGAAGAGGCTGAACCAAACCTAGTCTGATTTCCATTATCGCCTGTAAAATCCTCCCTTAGAAATAATAGTTATAAAGGAATCTATGCAAGGTCATTTCATTTCTGATTTTTGGTGGCTTGCTAATGCAGCAGCAGGATGCTTAAAATGTGCTCTCCTAGCATGAAGTAGCTAATTATATCTTAAAAACATTATTTATTATGACCTTATAATGTTCTAGCATAAGACTGCTTTATACATTGACCAGTATAAAACGATTATATTGGGTACAGGTTTCAAAAAGTAACAAGCATCTGTAAATCCAGATATGAATGAATGGTATTTAATAAGATTGTTTTCGTTTAAAAATGAGTATTTATGTGCTGCTGTAGAAAGAGCAGCAATGTATTGCTGTTTATGAATGCTATTGTGCCTGAGGTTAGGATCCCACACACAATCTGAGATGCAGCCAAGAAAAACAGCCCTGATAGACAATGCTTCACTTCACCTGCTACAATACTGTGCATTTCATTTATGTCAAGAATATSTACAGTTAGGGTTCATTCACCTCATTATTTTGTTACATCTACTTTACGGTTAACCAGTCTCTCTTGGAAATAATAAATAACTGTTTTTAAAACAGTTGCAGCTTTGCATTCAAAAGATCCACTTTCAATTTATAGAAAAAAGTATTCACCATTTTTATAAACTAGCTGGCTCTCGAAAATAGAATTTAGACTCCACCAACTCTCTTTCTGCTTGGCAAGATTGATTTTACACTGCCTTCCATAAGTAGATTACCAAAGCAAAATGAAACATCTTGGGCTTTATCTAATGCTTTGCTTCACCAGCTCTACCAAACGTCAAAATATATGAGTAAATGTTAATTCTCTGGCAGCTTTATTGTAAACACCTCCCTCTCAACCTCCTCAATTTCTGCCTGAGCAAAAASGGGAAAAAGGGGAGAGGAAAGACAGGGAGAGAAGGAGAGAAAAATCAGCCTCGATTACTAAAATACCATCAGYATTTAAAGGAGACCCTCTCTTTAAAATGCCTTTACATTCTAAACTGCATTGTCTCCCTTCCTATGATATAACATAATCCAGCCTGATCCTGACTTCACCTACCCCCCAGGCCAAAGAAAATAGATTCAAAATCTGAATTCTCACATGTTTTTATAGCCCATCTTCAAGACATACACTCCATTTTCTTAAAGCGAACTTCCCTATTTSACAACTGGTTTCCACAAGAAGAAATTCAAGATAAAAATTTCAGTCCCCTATAAACTGACACAGCCATCTCAAAATGTCAGTCTGTGCATTCCACTAAAACACAAACCATCAATCAGAAATAATCTGTCTCCTGCAAGATTTCACTAAAGTTCACAACCGTAAGATGATTTTGTTGGCATCGACTACAGAGCTTTTCTTTTCTTTTTTTTTCTTAGGGGGAGGGAGCATCCAGCTCTGATTTATCAGTATATCATTATTTTCATGGCATTAATTTTCAGAATTTTCTCAGTAATTATTATTTTTTAAATGTCCTTCTTGAGATGTGTTTTCTAATCTCTGCTCTCCGTTAGGGCAACTACATGTACAAAATTTTATAGGCTTATAATTCTGTATGCTATATATAAACATAAATAAAAATCTAGAGGTCAACATAAATAAAATAAAACTTTTATTTTTTAAATAAGATTATGTTTTGGTTAAAGAAAAGATAGTGTGTCATTTTTGTTAGTAGTACAGACAATTCTTTATCCAAAAGAATACATTGTGCTTTATTGTGTCATTTGTCTGAATACAGACTCAGTGGAATATCTAAATGATACCCTGCTCTGAACTCCAAGTTGAAAGTAAGTTTTTATTATACTTGAGGGAAACAATGGGTTCAGCTGCTTATTGCAAGGAGCAATTGTCAAGGGAGAGTTAAACTCAATTACTGTAACCATACTGAATAAAAAATACTGCCAAGAACAAAAATACGCCTGGGTAAAGACAGCTACTGAATAAAAAAATCGACATAAAGCGTATCAAATATTTATTTATCTGGGCAACAAAGGACTATGATACATTGATAGGCATGGAAACTACTGCCAGCACAACTCAATACAATACAACTATATCTGCTTCCAATATGGCCAGTGGAAATACAGGATACCAGGTGGTCCCGAATGTTCGAAGTTCTTTGGGAAAAAAAAATGGGAAAAATAAAAACAAAAGAAAGGGAGAAAGAAAAAATAAGGGGGGAAAGAAAAGTAAAGCTAAATGTTGTTTAAAAGACAGTATTAATTTATTGCTCTGTTGGTGCTTTTGGGAGAACAGTGGATGAAAATAACTTTTTTCATTTTCCACAACACATAAGGGTTGTAAAACCACTAACATGTTTAAAAACCTTGCCAGGGTCCAACATCACTTTATTTTGTCTTCGATGAGAAACTAAATGTCATACTAATTATATATAAAAATTCTTGATTTTTTTATTTGTTCATCTGCTTCATTGTCGCTTTTAACATGCTACAACAGGGCTAAAAATGATGAATCCCAGAGAAAAACCCCCAAAAAACCTCTGATATCTAAATAAGTACCATGAACCACATGATGAACTAAGAGGGGAAGATTTAAAACCCACTAAACAAGAGGTAAACGAGATCACCAGATAAATAAAAAAAGGCTTAAAACAGACTCACCATATTTACAATTCCCATTAAATTACACATAAATAAATATATACATACATGAACACTGATTCCCTTATATAATAACTGTGAATCGTGTTGCAATAGAAAGTTCAAGTTGGTCGCTTTACCTTGGACAGGAAAAAGTTCTAGAACTGAAGATATGACATGGAACCGCTTGTGTTTTGTGTTCAAGTTTATTCACAATACTGATAAAATGTCATCAGTCCTTTTTGCCTTTTATATGTCTGCTGTTGCTGTTGTACTTTTTCACTTTTTTTTTCATTTTTAGTATGGCTACAATCTTAACTGAAGTTTATGTAAGGGAAGGTGGTGATTCAGTCCGGTGAAGCTCATAGAATTTTTAAGTATTATTTATTTCTTTTTGTTTGTTTTTTTTTTAAATTTTTTAATATATTTTTAGAAAAAAAAAGTCCTTTTCTTTTTTGTTTTATTTTTTGTTGGTTTTTTTTTCTCCTTTTGTTTTATTTAAAAAAAAAGTTCACAAACTCAAGACAGAACTTTTTTTCTTTGCTGGCTCCGTCCCCCTGTTCTGTTCTCTTAGGCTCCAAACTGGGGTAAAACGATGGTGGCAGTGGGAAGAGGGGGGAAATTTAAGCAGGAGCAAATGGAAATGTGGATGCTGGGAAGGGGTGTGGAGAGAGAGCAGAGCAGTCCTGCAGAGTCAGAGAACAGGACTGGCAGAAGGACGCTCATTCTGTTGCTGTAGCCCGGGGTGCTGGGTGCCGGGGAGAGGGAGGAGGGAGATGAATGGATCGATGGGCTGTGAGGGGGAAGGGAGAGGAGTGTGTGTGGAGGGGATCCTCACTTTCGGTGCTTCTCCTCTTTGTCGCTGCTTTTGGTGCTGTTGTCTGTGTGGCTGTTGGGGTTGTTGCTGAGGTACATTTTGTCCATGGCCTTGAGCGCCTCGGTGAGATAGTTCTGCAGGGCGGTGACGGCAGCACACACCGCCGGGCTCCCAAAGCCGTGCGAGATGAGGTTGAAGTGGGTCAGGCAGCTCTGGATGCCTGGCTCCAAAATGGGGTTGGGCCGCGAGTTCCCCAAGGGAGATCGGTCCTGAGCCAGCAGGTCGGTGAACTCTTTACAGATCTGTCTGCAGCACAAATGAAGCAGAGAGATGGAGGGAGGGAGGAAGGGAAGGGAAGAGAGAGGGAGAGAAATGAACCATCACTGGCGGCAGCAAAGCCCTTGCATTTTCCCTGCTAGACTGCACAAGCCCCTGGATCAAGGGGGCTCCTGCCCCTGAGCGCACACATTCTCACTTCTCCCTCTCATCTCTATGCATTCTTCCCTCTAATTCCCACACTTCCCCAACCCACAAAAACCTCTTCCCTTCACCTTGCATGCACACACGACCACACCCCAGCCCCATACAACATACAGGCAGACAACAAGAATACAGAGACACATGYGTCTTGACCCACTGATCTCCCTATCTCAGCCCCAAAGACTCTCCACAAACACACATCCCTGCCCAGCTGGGGTTTGGACCACAAACATAGTTTAAAGTTCCTAAGCAGGCTTAAATAGGCTGTTATATCCAATGTAGTTTAAGGGATTTATCCACATCTTGGAAGATCCCTTTTTTTTTTGGGGGGGGGGGAACCAGAGAGACACGAGCCTCTTCCTCCAGAAGGCTAAAACACACCTGTGTGTCAGGAAGAATGAGTGAGGGCAGAGCAGGAACTGAGGATTTAAATTAGAGTATTCTGAAACATTTATGTATGTAAATCTCTATCTCCAAATCCAAAGGGACCTTTCCACAGAGAGGAAAAGCTGACACTAACCAGCGCCTGGAAATTTCCTTTCAGGGAGGCGAGAAGGGAGGATATGAGGGCATAGTGCAGAGGATAGGTTATACCACCCGCTCACTGCACAAATGATTGGAGAAATAACACACCTTATAGCAAGAGAGCTCAGAGGCATGTTGAAACAGTTTGTATTTTAAAACCCACGTTAATGTCTTCCAGCTATAAAGCAGCTCTCATCTTCTGCTTGTGTCCTCTGGCACTGTGCCCTTTGGTGACACCTCCATTGGTAATTAAGGGCTACTAAAYAATCCTTTTCATTTCCAGCAAACATACCAAAACAATCATTTTCTTTTCACACACCACCTGGAAGTCGAGGCAGCCCCACCAATGAAAAATTCTGCTAGCATTTTAACTGCGTACAGATTGGCATCTCAAATATATTTTTAATATGCCTGTATTTGCTAAGTAACAGAGCTGCTTAGRCAGGAAGAACCATTGCCAATTTTAATGAATTGAAATCAGTTTAATGTGCTAGTTTTATTTTACTGTCAATGGGAAGACTTCCCTTCTACTTAAATTGATAAGCTAAGTGAATAGGCCCAGAAAATGTTTTGCTTTGAAGAATTACTGCTTTTTCTGTAACAAAACAASCACCCTCAATTTGTACAACTCGCATTCAAGGTAACCTGCGCAAACTGATTTGATGGAAACCACACTGGGTTGTAGAGCTCTCTTGTACCAGGAGGGCCAACACACACCCCTCACAACTTGCAAACTATCAACCACTGCTTATACAGCAAACAAATATGTTCACAAATAAAAGCCCCAAACCCCTCCCTCATTTCTAACCAACATGCCAGAAAGTTAAATGTCTTACTTTGTAGCTAGAAGCATGTTTTTTCTTGTGACTTGCTCGTTTGGATCGGAATGTTGTCGGTTGAGAAATTCAGCTACTGCTTTGGCAGGAAATTCTGTCTCACAAACGTACCCAAAATCTCTAGCTAGATGTACTGCTTCTCCTGAACAAGGAGGCACGGGTGGGGATGGAAAGAAACACAGAGCTCATCAGTACACATCGCACAGACGCAAAAATCCATTTAAAAAAAAAAAAAACCACTACATTCTATTTGAGCTTTTCTTCTCAAAGGCCTGGACTTTTTCTGTTTGAAAAAGTTAGGGCAAGAAATGCTAATTACATCTTATCTTGCAGTTTTCTTTGCTTCAGTTGAAGGCAATGCAAATGTGTATTTTCATGACAATTGTTACAAGTGAWATCTCGCATAAGAATTTTTAAAAGTTCCCATTGACTAACAGATACTTTTAGACAGACTGGCTCCAGCTACCTAGAATGTGTGCTTCAATTTACATCTCCATACCTATAGAGAACCATTTATGTACATTTTATTCACAGCTATTTACTCTGAAAATGTGTTTGCCTCAGCCACACCTCTATATTCTTTTGCAATGCATCAATGATTAATATTGATCATAATTACTCCTAGAGCTCTTCTAAATAAAATGCATTAAACAGCTAAGTGTTTAAAATTTAACTTGATCGCATATAATTATACGTTCACCTCCAAACGATTAACCATGAGAATTTTAGGGTCATTCCATCGAGTCTGTCTGTTTTGTTGATTTTCAAATCTTTGGTTTTAATTTCCTGAACCAGTTGGTTTTTACTGCAGGGCTTCCTGCCATTAGCTCTAGCTCCGGAAGAACGCATGCGCCAATTAGAGCTTCAAAGCCTCAGTCCAGTGAGCTTGTTTCCATAAAATGGAGCGGATCATAAACAATAACAGTACTCTAGAAACTGCCTCATCACTACAGGACTCAAAGCCHGAGTAATGTTTATATTATCATCTCCCCCAAAATTAGCCACCATCACTAAGTTATCTGAAGATGAGGCCTCTGGTTTTTTTTTTTGAAAAATCATTCTTTTCAAAGCCATTGTATTGTGAAAGCCAAACAGAACAATAGATTACCATAAAATCTTCTCCATATTCATTAACATCACAAATAATGTTAAGCATCTACCAGATACTTTTTACAAGTTYTCTCCTCGTGATTTTTTACTACAGCGTGTCAATGCAATTGCAAAGCCTTTTCAGAAACACRAAGATGCGGTAATTTTCACGCAGTATAAATATAGTTTGTTCACTAATCCTGATGTTTAAAAAATGACGCCTGGCATCATCACACAGCACTTCTTTCCCTGTCTCTTTGAACATGAAACATTTCTCGCAGAATGCGAAGCGACAACAAAACAAATTCCCACCTACACAACCAAACTTAAGCTAAACCTGGACAGCTCAGGCTGAGCTTAAAAGTGCTTTACAAACTGAACCAGTCTAACACACAGTCAGACCCATGATTAAGGGGAAAGGAGAGGGATCTATTGGCAGGCCTCGGGCATATTTTGTGTCAGCCAGCATGACACAGTCACTGCTTCAAAACTGAATGACTGCAAACTCTTGAGCTTCTCACCTCCTGGTACAGACAGCCTAGGACATCCCAAGACACTAAGYTGCACCTTTTCTGGCCAAAGCAAAGCAGAGGAGAATGATATACCAAGGGAACATGTGTTCTGAAAATGAGAACCAAAAGGGAGTGGGGGCGGGTGGTGGGGCAACTTTGAGGCTTTCAGGACACCATTAATTCATGGCTRAGGTCAAGGATTCCCAAATTAATTCAGGAAGTAATGATCACGCATTTCTCAAATGCAGATGTCAGAAAAGTTAAATGATTTACTGTTATGTGACTGCAGGCTGGGAGGGAGAACAAACTTAAAGTAGCTGCAGTTTCTGACATTTAAAATTGCTTGGCTGTCCACCTGTGGCAGAAGAACAGCAGTGAAGYATTAGAGGCTCTGCTGCCCACAACTTCCAACTCAATATTCAGGGGTCTTTTACGGGGCTAAGCCCACAATCCCCCTTCACAGGGGGATCCTTCCCATACTGCTCCCAATGAGATCTGCTTACTCCATAGARGGATTACTCATCTGAATGAACGAGCAAGATGGGGCCCTGAAATCATCTATCTTAAAAACTTAAAAGCAAATAAATGGTAGAATGCTTTGCTGAGTGTGCAGGACTCGCACAAACCTGTTTCAGGTTATAACAAAAAGCAAAGGCACACAGTTAACCTGATCTTTTTGTAAGATATAGAAAATAATGCCCTTCCAAACACCAACGAGCAGCACTGACTCTGGGAAAGGGGAAAAAGATACCAAATGAACCAAGTCTTCTCCCATTTGGCAAAAGCAACAGACACATTTTCCAAAMAAGTCCTCCCAGCTCTTTGAGTCACTTACCCTCCACGAGTGATGTGAGCAAGGTAACGTTAGCAGCTTTACGCCTCCCGGCTGGCAGGTTTAGTCCTATTTTGTCCAGTTTCTCCCTCAGAGATCTCCCTCCATTTTTAGACTTTGCCCTGGTCCAGACAGAAAAGCATTGAGAAATGGGGCTTGGGGGAACACCYGCTTCTACTCTGGCTCCCAGCCACACATGCCCCCAACAGATCACCATCCCATAGAGCAGAATAAGGGTTTTAGGCAGAAGGGATACGCTGTGGGTGGCTGAAGACCAACTGTTGCTARAAGCTGAATCCCAGATATAGGGGTAGAGCTTTGGATGTTGACACGTCTAGCGAACAGGGCCCTCACTAAGGTCTGGATCAGGCCCAGAGCACCTCTGATAAGGGCTGCCTGCGGAGGTGTCRCAGACACGGGGCAGGCTCTCCCCAGGTGTTGACGGGAGGAGGCTGATTTGTATGGCCAGCAGCGCCAGAGCGTTACCACCCTCACACCAAACTCTACGTGGCCCATCTGTGCCTTCTCAGCAGAGCTGGACTAAGCGAGACTGCAGAGAAGGGAGCTGCCTTAATTAATCCTGGATGCTATTCCCTGCCCAGGCACTGCCTAATTGCCTGSGTGAGGCCACAGGGTGGRAGCCCATGGCAGGGTGCCCGCCAAYAAGCCGCTCCCGGGGGATGRGTGTGTGTGCCCGTGGGGGGTGTTCAGGGCCGCGACAGGGACAGGGACACRCAGGGGTCCCCACGGCGGGGCTCCGGACCCCGCACAAGGCCGCGCGTTGCCATGGCGACCGTGCCCGGGCCCCCTCCCGCCGCCCGCCCGTGCCGTGCCGCCC